CTACAGCAAATACCCAAATGGCTGACCAGCTAGAACTTAGCATGTTAGATTATCTAAGTGATGAGAGATGATCTAGAATGCAGAATGAGTCTTTGCTCCCCAGACACAATATCATACTTCCATCTGAGTCATCACCTGGCATGCTTATTGAAGAATAATTAAAAGCATTCTATAATGTAGGTAAGTAAATGACACAGCATAGTGTTACATAAAAGTTATTTCTAGCAGCCTTTTAACACAAACTGTAAAATATCTAACACTGGGTATTGTTCAGCTATTTTATTTACATCAATTTCTCCCCAGACATTACCTCTGCTTTGGGGATTTTGGGTAATGTTAACCTAACCAGTCAAAACCACGTCCCAACCAAAGGGAGGAACACCGCATAGCAAAAAATTATCACAGAATTATCACATCCATCCTTGTGGTGGCAAACAGTCATGTTACTTAACAGGCTAGGTAACTGAAGCTAGTCAGCTTCAGCTGGATGAGAAAGCCCCACAGTTTAGGGCATCTCATGGCTACCTAATATTCAAGATAACTCTTACAGAATTGCACAAAGAAAGAGAAAAGCACAGAATTAGCTCATACTCCCTCTAAAAGTATCTGCTGTTTCTCACAGCTCCGCAGAGAAACGTTACGGGGGAGGATTCTAGCTAACTTTCATAATTTACTTACAGAGATGCAATATTTTTATGCACACAAAATACTTTGTGAGAAGGAAGTGTAGCAGAAATAGTGCATGTGCAAGTATTTCTCACAAAGTATTTTGTGCCTAACAACACAAATGCAGTAAGAAAGCCATCTGTTTCAACATACTGTACCTGTTTGCCATATTTCTCTTCCTGTCAATGTCTAATACTTGTAAGCTAACACAAACCTGTCACAGTCCGCTGACCCTCAGTCAGGTTATTCCACCAGCTGTTAACCTGAAACAGAATTGGTATTTATCAGTGCTGCTGCAGAGCATTTGCAATTTCAAAGACAGTCACAGAAGTTTATGAATGGAAGGTATATGTTTGAAAGTTGTCTAGTAAATCAGGTGCAGGTTTCTGTACTTCTTACTGGTTCGGCTATTTAAGTCGGCATTTCCTTACTGAAGTGTGGTTATCTACCCTCCTTCCTGACAGATCTGTGGTTATCTACCCTCCTTCCTGACAAATCTACAGGCAGATCAAGAATTTCTTCAAAAAAGAGAACAGGGTAATATCGCTTTGTACAACTCCACAGGTTACCTCTGCTTGTACTGAAGAAGGATCTAGTCAATAATGCTTACTTTAGCAGATGAGCCAAAGTTAGCATATATCCAGCCCTAAGCCTCACTCTAACGCTAACAACACACCACCCACCTTTCAGAGATTCCACTTTTGTGCCAGGGTCACCTTCGCAGAGGTGGCCCACAAGATGTGGACACCATTCCCTCTTGTGTCCAGTTCACCCAGCCCTCCTTCAAGTTTAAAACCCCTGAAAAAGTTTATTTTGAGCTCACTCAGCCCACACATAAATTCCATCCCCTTTTCCCTTTGTGAGCTTTCAGAATGGCTTTGGACAAATATTTAATTGACTGCTCAATGATTTTCCAGACGTATTAATGAGCACATAGTCAGATAAATCAGTTACAGGCTGGGAAGCAGGTGCAATACTACTATTAAGCTATTTTCTATCTGATACCAGAGTTACAGCACTGTGGTTTTGGCTTAATGCTCTGGCCCAGGACACAGATGATACCGGTGCATCCAACCAACTCCTCTGGTATGAAGACACTACAGTAACATCACTTTGTTATAATACTAGAAGTAGAATGCACTCAGAATCTAATGGGAGAACAAAATATTTTGAAAGTGAAACTCACCTACTGAGGAGAGAGGTTGGGAATTTAAACCTATGAATAGGGTAGTTTTGTTTTACTTCTAGAAAGCTAACCAGCAGGTCTTCCTCCCCAGGTTTTGAAGGAAAACAAAAGTATAAAGCTGAAATGATTTAAGACAAAGGTGTATGCGCTGAGCAGTTTGTGCCCATTGGGTGCTTTTCCCTGTGCACCACAATGTGCACCGTGGCAAAAGTGGCACTGCCAAACGCATTCCAGGATCCTGTGCTGCTCCAGTGCACACAGCCCTGCCTCCCAGGGAAAGAAGACTGAGCAGGCGTGGGCTGCCACCAGCCACAGCAGGGACCTCAGCACATACTGGTGTTATTTTAGATTTAAATGCACCTAACTGAAAATAAAAGGGGCTGGTAGCTTTTGGGATGCCAACTAACTGCACGAATATTGCACTACTTATGCTGCTGTTTACAGCCCAATTCTAAAGTGATGCATGAGGAAGAGTAAGCTTTCCTTATGAATGCCGCCTGAATCCTCATATTTGTAGAGTAAAATTAAAAATACCAATGCAATTCAGAAGCCAGAAGATTAAACGACTCACGCTCGAGATTCAGAACGTGAGCCAGCTCTCACATCTTTGGGAGCCGACGTCTGGAATGCTTAGGAATAGCAGTTGTTACAGTTTTTCCAGCGCCGGAGAAGCAGAACGTACTTATGTTAGATATTTACAAGCCACTACCGTGGCGCTCTTCTCCCTTCGCCGGCCCCACCCCGCGGCCCCGCACCTGTTTCCTGAAGCTCCCCCTCTTCTGCGGCCGAATCCTATCCAGCCAGTCGGCCCGCGCCTCCTCGAAGTAGCTCTGGACCCGGGACTTGAGCGCCTCGTACTGCCAGATGGCCGCCGTGCCGAAGGCCGTGCCTGTGAACTGTGCCAGCGGTCAGCAAGCGAGGCCCCGCGCCCGGGCCCTCCCCCGGCCGCCACTCACCCCCACCGCGAAGAGCAGCGGCTTCACCAGGCGGCGCGGCGAGGGGCGGCCCCCGCGGGCGGGCGGCGGCGGGCACAGGCTGCGGCGGGGCGGCGGCGGGGCGGGCCGCGCCTCGGCGCCGCCGGCGGGGGTCTGGGGCTCCTCGCTCCGCGGCCGCGCCCGCCGGAAGCCCCGCCGCTGCTCCAGCAGCACCGTCAGCCTGCGGGGGAAGAGCGGACAGTCACCTCACCGCAACGCGCCGCCGCCGCATCCACCGCCCGCCCCACCCGGCAGTACCTATGCGCCCGCGGGTCCCAGGCGCGGGCCCAGCACCGCCACGCCATGTTGGGCGCCTCCCCGCGCCGAGCGCTTCCGGGGCGGCCGCCGCTATCTTGGGGGCGTGGTGCCGGTCGTGCCCGCAGCCACATTGGGAAGGTCGGCCCCGGCCGCCATGTTGGGTGCGGCGGCCCCTCCCGGCGTGCCCGGGCGGTGCGAGCTGTGCACGTGATGTCAGCGCTCCGTTTTTCTAACAAAACCAAATTTTTTTTTTTTTAATTTAAAGTTTGTTTTAGCTTTGGAATTCAGAGTATTTTATTACTTTTTTCCCCAGAGACCTTATCAGGAGCGTGGTCAGGGAACTGGAGCTCCTCCCCTACGAAGACAAGCTGAGGGAGCTGGGCTTGTTCAGCCTGGAGAAAAGAAGGCTGCGGGGTGACCTCACTGCAGCATTTCAGTACCTAAAAGGAGCCTACAGACAGGAGGGGAATCAACTCTGAAAAGGCAGGACGAGGGGAAATGGTTCTAAGTTGAGGGAGGGAAGACTGAGGTTGGATGTCGGGGGGAAGTTCTTTACTGTGAGAGTGGTGAGGTGCTGGAACAGCTGCCCAGAGAGGCTGTGGATGCCCCGTCCATCCCTGGAGGTGTTCAAGGCCAGGTTGGATGGGGCCCTGGGCAGCCTGGCCTGGTATGAAATGGGGAGGTTGGTGGCCCTGCCTGTGGCAGGGGGTTGGAGGTTCATGGTCCTTGAGGTCCCTTCCAACCCTGGCCATTCTGTGATTCTGTGATCCTTGGGGTCCCTTCCAGCCCAAGCCATCCTATGAATTGAATTGAAGTGTCGCCGAGTTTTGGCCCTCATGTGCCTTTTACTGTTGAGGAATGCTTGCATCCAGCATGTGGAGCTTGTGGATGTTATGTTACTTCTAGTAGGCACATTAGGACTGGGCTGTCATTTTAAGAGTGGAGGAAGGATTCCTGCAGTGGTATCCCTAGTCCTTCTGAAGGTGGTAGGATTTAGGTGCTGGCTCAAGGATGGTTGCTCATTTGTTTTTTTGTGGAATCTAGCTTCTAAGCTTCCTCACTTTGAAGCATGCAGTGTTTTACATTGCAGTATTTTGATGAGTACTTTGTGTTAACAGCTATGTGCTACCCACCATTGGAGGTTTATAGTTTCATCTGCCTACTGTCAGGAGTGAATTGTGACCACATGGCTCATACCAACATGACAGGCAGAAACAATCACTTGAACTGTGGTACGAAATCTGCTTGAGTTTACTCCTTCATTTAAATTTATGATTTATTTTGCATATTTTCTGTTGTCAGCTGTGTGCTTTGAAGAAGTTATGCAGTCACTTAGGAGAAAATTACGCCCTCCCCAATGGCAGATTAAACTTTTATGGTGGAATACGCATGCTTTTCAGAGCAGGATAAATGTAATCCTGCTTATTAGCACAAACAAATTTCCATTATGTTACAGACGTTATAAAGGAATGATTGTGGGAGGAGGCTTGAATTCCTTTTTTTTTTTTTTTTTTTTTTTCCATCATGCTGGAACACTGTATACCATTGCAGTGGGGGCTGTATCCCAAAACAAATGCTTTCTATGATTGTTTGCCTATTCTATCATAAATGCAGGGCTCTTTCTGCGAGGACAGCATTTTGATGACAAGTGCAACAAAGGTGTAAAGTAAATAAGTCATCGTAGAAATTGTAATAATATTTTTCTTGGAGACTGTTGATGCATGGGCAGCTCAGTGGCACTGAGAAAGCAAATTATATACTAGTGATTGCCTGTTTAATCTGGGCACCTTCAATAGCAATTCTCATGATTTTGTTACGATTTTCTTAGTGGAGTTGTCCATTTCACTGAGACGTTGTAGCAAAAAGGTGCATCTGGGCCTTTGTGCAACAGTTGAGCAATGCTTCAGCCACAGGTCCTTGATTTTTAGAATGGGGGGAAAGGTCCCAAAGAGTACAGAACTTACCTTTCTGTTTGATCAAGCTGATCCACACAGAGTGCTGACATTACCGTCTAGCAGGAAGGTAAATGTGGAGATCAGAAGCATATCATAAACGTAAGTATCAGAATTCATTTCACTTCAAGTTTGTATTGATAGGCATTGTAATCAGGAGACAACTTACGAAAGCATTTAGTATCTTTAATTTTAAAAGAAGTGTGAGTTAGCAAACAAGTGAAGAATTGATGACGCATTGCAAATGTGAAATAGAGAATTCCTCATTCTGGTTTGGTTTTGTTGGTGTTTTGTGAAATATGCATGAATGGTAATAAAAGTTCTCCTAAGAAAATACTGAGATGTCCTAGAATATTTGTGTGTCCCAGTTATTTCATGAGATTTAGATATCAGTGCTACGTTTTTCTTATATAAGAGTTTGTACCTGCATCTTTCTGATGTTTTCCATCTTCTGTAAATGTAAATCCATCTTCTGTACATGTATGAACTGTTTCAACAGGTTTATAATACCAGAAATTGTGGGAGGCTTCTTGAAAAACAGCTTCTGTCAGAGGAATGGCTTCATCTGCTCTACAAATACTTTCACTGCTGCTGGCTTTAGCTGGATTCACCGTTTTACTTCTCACTACCATGTCCAACAGATGGAAAATTTCTGGCAGCATAGCAGTGCTGGTTCCTTCAGATTGGATTTCCGAAGGCCTCTGGATGGACTGTGGAATCACTGATTTTGGAGCAATACAGTGCAGGAAGTTTCTTCACATGTTGAGTTCAGAGAGTAAGTGTGTATGTGTATATAAAATCCAGAGATGCATTTTTGTTCTTTCCTTTTGTGCAGCAAATTGGTGCAGTTGGACAGCATATAGTTGAGGTTGGCACAGAGGTTCTAGTATGGAGAGGATTTGTCCTTCAGTACTTTCAGACAGGCTAAAGGACCCTTGAGAGATCTGTGTGCTTTTCCCCCCATTCAGCTCAGTAACTGCTGTGCCTTTGTTACCATGTCTGTTTTGGTTTTACTTGTTTCACTTGGTCTCATTCTTAACAACAAGCAGGCAATATGTCAGTAAGTGCTTTAGTGTGAGACAGGTCTTGGATATTACACAACTGATTTGACTTTGTGCTAAATCTGTGTGTTTGCTCTAGAAACTTTCAGAGGCAGCTAGCTTCAATAAAACACGTCTGTATGTGTTTTGTGTTTTCTGAGCCAGAATGTTCTGCTGCGGTTGGACTGCAAACAGAATTCTTTTCCTAGGAACTGAAAGTGGTTTGTTTGGATTATTCTGGATTTGTAAAATATTTTTCTATAAACACCCTTTTTATGGTAAAAGATTAGGAAAGATTGACAGTCTTCTCCAGAAAATGGAGGTTGGGAATAGTTATGGTATAACTTTGGACAACAGGTGTCTTGGTAAGATTTGAGCAGAACTTTCCATTTATTTGTTTTCAGCTTTCAGTATTGTGCAGTCACTTTGTCAGTTATGTTACTGAATCATTTCTTAATTATTCCTAATGAATAATTTCTTAATGGGGAGCGTTCCCCATTTTATCGATCTCTAATTATTGCCACTGCTGTTTTTCTGTAGTCTTCCCAGCTCATCTGTTCTCAATGCACAGTGCTCAAACTGGAAGCATGTCTTACAGATAGCACAAGCTATGAAAACTTGCCTTTCCTAACACAGACATGGACTCCACAGCAGTCAGAACTGCCTACCAGCGTAAGGCAGGCCTCAAAAACATGGAAACTGTCAAGATTCAGGATTTCTGTGATTCTTCCTCAGGCCCCTGAGGACAGTGACCCCATTTGCATTCTTAGTAATAGTTCCAGTGTAAGTATTTAGCGTGTTGTATTGAGGCCGGAATTTGTAGCCTCAGAAGAAAGGAAATCATATCCTGAGGATTTAAAAAACTCTGCTCCTTGTGTCAGAGACAATGTCAGTTTTTCCTGCCTTTCTGCTATCCAGAGGCAGAGTATTCCTCTCCAAGACTTCTGCTGAGTAGATATCAGTTTGCCCAAAATTCATCTGGAAACTGAGGCGTGTTTTCTGGAAAGCAGAATGATGGGATGGGAGCAATGGTTCTTCTGTCCCCGTGTGGGGTAGCAGGCTGTAACAGATGGCTACGACGACATCACAGCTTTGCCTCACCTAACAAGCAGGAACAGATGTCTCAGCCCTGTTAGAGAGGCAAGCAGAATCTATATCAGACAGTCTCTTTGTTTTTATTTTAATGCAGTTTAATTATACTCAAGATGGAAAGAAAATATTCACTAGGAACAGACGACTTCCTGGTGGATGAAGCAGCCACCTGCCCTGGGGCATGTCTTCCTTCCTCCCTCCCTGTAGAACTGTAGGAGAGGAGTCCTGGCTGGCAGGGCTCAGGGATCACCTTCAGCTGTCACCTAAAACAGCGCAGGGTTCCTCGTGCCAGCTGACAGATGTGTTGTGTGGCTGCCTGGAAGAGTTACTGCTCTCTGTCACAAGTTTCTCTTCTTACAGTCAGTGGGTAAGTCAGCGTCCCTAGCTCTTGAAACAAATACACAGAAGTGATCAAAAAGGTACAAGCTATTGCTGATCAAACATTTAAGGTGTTAATATTTTCAGGGTTTTTTTGTTTTTGTTTTTTTCTTTGTGGCTGATATTAAAAAAAAAAAAAAAAGACACAATTTCCACCTGTAGATGCTGTCTCAATCATACTGCATGCTAATATGCGCTGTTATAAGAACACTGTATACTACCTAGATCTCGGTAGGACTGTTAGCGTTTTACTTGCAACATGTGTATATACTACTGCAACGAACTTTCCAGTCATTTCCATTTGCTGCACTTGGTTTTCACTGTAGAATGGTTCTGGAGAGAACAAAAATAATAAAGCAACCCAGATGCCTACCCAAAAACACAGCTGTTCAAGACTCCAGCTGCAGAAAATGCCTGAGTGTGTTGCTGTAATGGGAGAGTGGCAGATATTACTGCATGAGGGGTGAGCAGGTGGATGATCTGCTCAGCCTGATGGCATAGCTCAAGGAGAAGGTGAAGAGATTAAGGAGCATCAAGGAGCAGTGAGCAGGAGGCAGGCTGGTGGGGCAATTCCCTGCCTTACCTACAAGAAAGGCACTGGGGTGATGCACCCCAAGTAGTGCTGGACCTTCCTCCTTATCACCACCAGGGAAAGGAAGGGACCTAAGAGATGGGGAGGAATGGAAGCGGGTCTCAGCCTGGCATTGCAGGCAAACTCCCTCCCTACCTATCCTGCCTTTCCAGGTGCCCCTATGTAATAGGTTTAAGGCTCTGGAACTCGAGGGACGGGTAAATGAGAAAGCAGTGGAAGGTTGACCCCGAAGGTTGTGTAAGAAAAGGCAATCCTCAAGACTGAGGCACCGAGAAGGAAAGAATGGTAACTGCTGTAGGTGACACCTTTCTGAGGGGAACAGAGGGCCCCATGTGTAGGTCAGACCCTACCTGTAGGGGAATGTGCTGCTTCCCTGGGGCCTGGGTCAGAGTCCTTACCAGAAAGCTTCCTGGTCTGGTTTGCCCCTCTAGTTATTACCCTTTACTGATAGTTGGCAGCAATGAAATCACTGAGAGAAGCCTGGGGGATGTCAAAAGGGGCTTCAGGGGATTAGGGAGGTTAGAGGGTGGTGTTCTCCTCAATCCCGTCATGAGGCAGGCTAACTATGACTCAGCTGCCTTTACTGCGGCATGGTGGGATCATTGCCACAACTGGAGTGCTGCAGGGAATGGCTGTAAGCTCTTCAGAAGGGATAGGCAAGGAACAAGGGTTGCTGTCTTTGTTGGAGAATGTCTCAGTGGTGTTGAGCTTGCGGCTGGCAATGATAAGGTTGAGTCCCTATGGGCAGGGATCAAGGAGAAGGGAAATAGGAATGGCATCCTGGTGGGGATCTGTTACAGACAACCTAACCAGGATGAAGAGACAGACGAGGTGTTCTCTGAGCAGCTGGCAGAAGTTGTGCGATCATCAGCCCTTGTTCTCATGGGGGACTTCAACTTCCCTGACAGATGCTGGAAATATAATAGAGCCCAGAGGAAGCAGGCTAGAAAGTTTGTGGAGTCTGTGGAAGATACAGTTTCCTGATGAGCAGGTTCATGACCTGCTGGTCATGAACAGAGAAGGACTGATGGGAGACGTGGAGGTCAGGAACTGTCTTGGGCAGAGCCACCACCATTAAATGGCAGAGTTCTCCATTCTTGGTGAAGTCGGGGGGGGGTGGGGAGGGGGCAAAAAAACTGCTACCCTGGACTTGTGGAGGGTGGACTTTGAACTATTCAGGACACTGGTAGGGAAAACCCCTTGGAAGTCCATGCTGAAGGATACATGAGTCCAGGAAGGCTGTACGCTCCTCAGGAAGGAAGTGGAACAGGTGCAGGAGCAGGCTGCCCCCCTGTGCTGTTAGGTGACCCGGAGGGGAAGAAGGCTGGCATGGATGAAGGGGGAGCTTTTGGTGAGACTCTGGAAAATAAGAGTTTACCTCCTGTGGCAACTCAGGGAGAGGACATGGAAGTTGCTAGCATATGCAGGGGACTGAGAGAGCTGATGGAGCTGATTGTCAAGCCTCTTTCCACAGTCTGTCAGTGCTCAACCAGAGAAGTCTCAGTAACTGAAGACTTGCTAACGTGACGTGCATCTGTAAGTAGGATCATAAGGAGGATCTGGGGAACTACAGACCTGTCAGGACGACCTCAGTGCCAGGGAAGGTTATGGAACAGATCATCTCGAGGGCAATTGTGTGGCATGTGTAGGATGACCAGGGGATTAGGCCAGCCAGCATGGGTTCATGAAAGGTGAAGAGGAGACTCAAGGGAGACTTTATAGCTCTCTACAACTCCCTGAAAGGAGATTGTGGTGAGGTAGGGGTCAACCTCTTCTCCCAGGTAACAGCAATAATTCAAGAAGGAATGGCCTCAGGTTGCACCAGGGGGGTTCAGATTGGATAATAGGAAGAATTTTTTCTCTGAAAGAATGTTAAGCGTTGGAACAGGCTGCCCAGAGAAGTGATGGAGTCAGCGTCCATGGAGGTGTCTGTGGAAAGGGTAGTGTAGTACTTAGGGACACAGTTTAGTGGGCAACACTGATGGTAGGTGGATGGTTGGACTAGCTGATCTTGGAGGTCTTTTCCAATCTTAATGATTCTATGATTCCGTGATTCCTCATGGATGAAACTGAGCAGGGAAATGTGCCCTAGGAATGCACCTTATGACTTCAAGCTACTGGGGGCGTTCAGTTCATCCAACCAGCTGAACCTAGTCTGGGCTAAAACTCCTGTCCTGCATAGTGTCGATGTGAAGCTATCCATGCCAGTTTGCTCTGCTGATGCACGTGCTACAGCACTGTGCCATTGGTAAGCTCACTGCTAACCACTGGAACTTAGTGAACAACAACCTGGTATTCTACAGCACTTCTCTTTTCTTTAGAGGAGAGTGGCTTCCTTAAGGGAATGATTAAATTGCCTGGTGCCATGTATGAAAAACTTGTGCATTCTAAATCTACACTTTAATCTGTTCCTCTTATATGCATGCTTTACAAGTGCATGTCAAAGTCGCCTTTTTAGTAGCCACTAGGAAGAGCTAACTTCTTTAATGACTTTTTTAATTATTATTTTTTAATTCTTGACAACAGTATGAAGGAGGGATACTTGATTCTAATTCCTAACTAAATTCAACTGTGGAAGCCATACGAGTAGAAGTGATTGCTGAGGTCACCAGAGTAACTTCTGTTTGTGAATAAATTAATCTGAAACTCTTTGAAGGGCATTTAACAGGATGCAGATATTCCAATGCACTGGCACAATGCATTCATTTTAATGTGCTATCATTTTCAAATCACAATGATTTAGCAGAAAGAGGGGATTTTGGAAAAACCTCCTGAAAAGATCAATTCTCAACACATCGCCATCTGCTTTCTCTGAAAGATTGCAAGCTGCTCAGGGTCATTCTGGCTGTGCTGCCAAATCTGTTTTTATTTAAAATAATGGCAGAGATGTTTTTGGCTGCCGAGGAAGGAAAATTAGCACAGTGGCATGGTAGTATCCTTTTGCAGCCAAACCTGCTGACCTACAGCATCAGCTCGAAGTGACCACTGAATTTTGGAAAAACAGGTATATTTGCTTTAGGCAGGTTGTGGCTCTTTCAACAGCAAATCCTCTTGGGAGTCTTTGTGGAATACTGTGACTCTGTTACCATGCTGTGTCATAGCAAAGTGGTTTTATGAATAAACTGTGACTCCATCGCCTGGAGATAAGAGCAGGTTATCATTGCAAGAAATGGCTGCCCCTACTTGGATACACAAACAATTTAAGTTATAAACATTAGTGGGTGATCTGGATTGAGTCTAGAAGTTTGTTTGATCAAGAGCAGAAGCAACTAAACCAAGTTTAACATACTTTCCTTTGTCTGGAATAGATTTTTAATACTTTAATGTTCTGACAGCTGCAATTAACTGGTATGTATTATTCTCATGTAGCTATTTTCCTTCATCATTTTACTCCCTTTGAAATAGGTCTGTCACAGTGGTACATCCTTATATTTCATTTCCATGGACTGTACATTATCACTGTTTTATTCCAGTGTGAGTGGGTCTATTTAAACTGTATAGTTTAACTACAGGTCGATAAATTGTGAAATATTAATGAAAATCAATCAACCACAGTCTTAACATTCCTGAAAGAAGCTGGCAGTATAGTTGCTGTTGCTCACTGATGACCATAATTCCAAAAATATGCTAAATTCTCTAGCATCAGGAGTAAGTTCGTGTTCTCAAGCTTTCTGTCATAAAGAAAATAACACAAGAAAGCTTTTTGTAAAATATGAGGTCATTAAGCAGATTAAATGACAATCAATTTTAGTCATATGTATACCATAGTTTATAGCAGAGAAGGAGAGACTTTCTTAAAGTACTCTCTAGAAACAATGGCTAGAATTTCTAGGTTGAGACTAAGACTAGACTTTATCACTTCCTATGAGAAAATTAACATTTTTAGTAGTTTTTTAATATCTCTATCGTGAACAACTCCCAGTTACTGTCATAGACTGTAAGCCTTATCGCTGGGGTTGAGCAAAGGGCAAAGGTAGTCTCATTTTGGAATGAAACCCAGGGATGAAGCAGCAAGGAGGCTTCTGAAATGCTTCACTTGATGCTGATCTGATTATAAGGATATTCAGCTGCTACTACTCACAAGCATGTCTGCAGCGCTGCAAATTGTTGGGTTCCTTTCGTGTTTGGTTGGATGGGCCTTTATTGGAGGTGCCTTGCCACACAGTTACTGGAGAGTCTCCAGCTCCCATGGCAGAGTGATCATAGCATCTACGTTGTATGAAAACCTGCAGAAGAGCTGTGCAGACGACAGCGCCGGAGTATCCAACTGCAAGCAGTTTGACTGTTTGCTGTGCCTGGTAGGGGACTTGGCATGGTCTTGTTAGCTGCTTAAGAATTGCTGGGAAAAAAAGTAGCAAGATTTTTGTTGTGGCAGTCTGGTTGTAATGGAAAATAACACTGACTTCTGAACAGAAGAGATTTTGTGGGTTAAAGCAGCACAGAGCTTTGAGAGGCACTACATGTGGAACGCATAAGGAAAGGCTGCAAAAAAAAGGACAAGACCCATCTGACAGCTCCATATCTATATGGAATTACTGCATGGGCATTCTTTTGCAATAGTTGATAGCCAATGTTATCTGGAGGTTGTTTTCATAAAGGAGCTGTTAATACTATTTTTTTTTTTAATCCAAAAAGTGGGTAGTGCTTTTTCCCTGCTGAGATTGAAAACTGTGTACAGTGGAACAAGTACTGCAGGTATTTGGTTTAAAGTAACTTACATGTTAGAAATTAGTAACTACTTGTTGGATGTGATTCTGAATATCAGGAAATTCAGGTCTGCTGTCTCCTGTACTGCCTATCAGCCTGCAGCAGAATTGTAGCATGACCTCAGGTGTTGAATTAAGGCACTATCTGCAGATAAGGAGCATGCTTATAGACAGTGAAGTTAGTTGTTATCCATCTTGAATACTTCAGATTTATCCCAGATAAACATGTCTTCCTAGCTAGTTGAATCTACTCTGAGAGGAGGGTAAACTAAACAGAAAGGCAGATACTCCTGATCTGGCAGATGTGGAACATGGGATCAGTGGGAATAAGGCACTGAACTTTTTCCTCAGTGTGAAATTATTGACCAACTCTGAAACATGCACAGCAGTCCTTTGAAGCTGTCTGTGCCCATTTTTAGGGAATCTTCTGTTCTTCTAATAATCCTAATATTTGCCTAACAATCCTTCTAACAAATTGTGATCTGAGAATTGGCTTTAAAATGCATGTGTGTATTAAGAGGAATGTAGCATCCTACATAATTCATTAGAATCACCAGTAGCAGAATAATGGCTTTCCTCAGCAGAATGCTTATGTGAGTTATGTGCTTGATTCATTTATAACCCTTTTAAAGGGCTGGTTCTTAATTTACTGTCCCTGAGTCTGTACAGCATCTCATCATGGACGTATTTACACGGGTTGTTGTCTCTCTATAGAGCTCCCTTGTGTGGATGCAGGCAGCAGGGCCACATCAGGTCAGGATCTTGGAGCTACTGATGACAAAGTAGGTTTTTAAGCCATCTGAGAGAAGCAGAAAAGAGCATTGTGAGTGCTAAAGCCAAAGAGAAAGAAAGGAAGAAAGCTCTTGGAGAGTTACCAACAACAACATGGTGTCAGCAAGAGGGAAAACAGGGTGAGGTGGAAAGTAAATCAATAGGGCAGGCTCTGAAAATGAGGTTGTGAAGATCAGATTTGATCCACTGAAGAGATCAGTTATTCTGTTGAGGAGGTGACAATATACTTGAGGAGTAAGTATGGGAAGAGGGAAAAGACAAAGCAGCTTGCAGAACTGAGATAAACTAAGAAGAAAAGGTTTAAAGGGAGGACAACTGAAAAAGAAACAAGTTAGAAGACACAGAATGGGACAGAAAGATGAGAGGACGGTTGGGCAAAGAAGGTGGGGTTGGTACCAGTGAGGGCAAATAGTGGGACCTTCAAGAAAAGCTTGTAGCTCTCATGAGTATGAGCCAGGGCATGGTTAATTTAGGTGTGTAAGAGAAACTAATCCAGTTCAGACCCTAATTATGCACTGTTGGAGCCAAGACTCATCAGACTTGTGGCACTCAGCACGTTTATCTCATTAAAAAGGTGCTAAGAGTCATTTGAACCAGAACCTACTAAATTCAGGCTGCCGTTCCAAAGAGCCTGAAGTCCCTGTCTGACCTTCGTTGTTAGGCTGGTTAATAACTGGTCCCAGTTATTGAGTGATTGATAACTACGTGCAAAAACTGGGAGCTTAAATGATGCAGAATTGTCAGCAGAAACAGAAAGAAAGCTTTGAATATGTTTCAGTAGCTGGTCACGGGCTCTGTAACAAACTCTCACCAGCTGAACACGCTCTGCAAAAAATATCTTCAGCAGGAGAGGCAAGCTGCAGGTCTTGGACCAGCTCATCCCCTGCTCATTACCCATTCAATTTAAAGTGTCAGAAAGTACACTGCTAACCCCAGCACCTGCTTTTTCCATCTCTTACTGGAAGCAGCAAAGCAGACGCCATCCAGGATATTTTCCCAGGCTTCCATAGTGTCGCCTCGGTTTGGATCTGGAATTCAGAGGTGTCCTGTGCACTCGGGTCTGTAGGTAAAAGGAAATCACCAGAACCAGCAGGCTGGAGATGTGTACCTGCACCTGCAAGTGACCTTGTCTACTGCAATGTGTTCTCACAGGACTGAAGGATGTGAGCTGTGAAGTGTTTGCTGTGCTTTTGGGGGTTTACTCAAGCTCCTAAGAGGATTTACTGAGCCTTACAGTGTAAGTGTAGTTCAGCTCTGAATTCTGATTGACTGCATACAGCCCTCTACGTTTTTGATATTCCTCAGAGCTGAATGACAAGGTTGTACAAGATTCATTCATTACTACTATTAATTTTGTCACTGTCTTTGATCTGTTAGATTTTGCCAGAATTGGGTTAGTTTAATTTCTGTGTGGTTCCTTATTTGTTCTCTCTTTCTCTGTCTCGTTCAGTCCACGTTCAGGCATGCCGTGCCTTGATGATCATTTCCATCCTTCTGGGATTCGTAGCTGCCGTGGTCTCACTGCTTGGTTTAAAGTGCACAAACGTTGGGCTGAGTGATGAGGATGAAAAAATGAAGGTTGCTGTCACCGGAGGATTTCTTTTTATTTTAGGAGGTAATGCTGAGGCTGAAAAAGAAATGCTGTCAGTACTTTGTATTGCTGTCAAATGAGACTAAATGAATTGAATACTACTGTTGGGTTAAAGGCATTGAAGGACTCACTCAGCTGTGTGCTTTTTGATATTTTTTTCTGGCAGGTCTCTGTTCGATGGTGGCCGTTTCTTGGTATGCTGCAATGATTTCTGCTCAGTTCTTTAACCCAATATATGCTGGAACCAAGTAAGTTAATAGATACCAAACACCAGACTCCAGTATGTGTTAGATGGCAGGATTAGCCTCAGCTGCTCCAGGGTTTCAAAACCTGGATGGATCCCAGTGTGCAGCCCTAAAGAAGGAACAATTGTCTTCAGGGGAATTTTTCACCTCAGAGATGTTTGCTGTTGGTGGGAAGGGTGGAGGGGTCTCCATTGGAAGGTTTAGTGAGTGTGTGGGTCTGTCAACCCCAAATTTGCCTTGGATTATTGGCACGGAGTACTCTCTCATGCTGGCAACTCGTGACACTCAGTTTGCAAAATACAGAACTGCAGTTAATAACTCTGAAGTTCCTAACAAGTGTCTTTTATCTACTTGAGCCAAAACGATTCCTTTCTTCTTGTATCTTTGTCTGCACCCCTGTCTGTCCCCATGATGATCTGTTTCCTCTGCACATGTACTCTGATATTACAAAGAAATTCAAACTCAGATTCAGTGAACAACAGTAGATTTGCTATCATTTTCAAAGGCCTTCTTACACCTGTATGAAATCTTTTTCTTGTTGTTTTTTTTTTGTTCTTTGTTTTTTTTTCCCACAATCCCACCTGTTGGAAAAAACCAAACGTATTCTTAATCCTCAGGTTTTGCATTTAGTCCACAATGCAAAACATAAATCACTTTTGTCATCAATGCATGCAGCATCACAGTTCTGTCATATTGGCCCATGATCTTGGACTTCATCAAGGTTTGGGGCACTGTCATCCTAGGTTGCACACAAACAGCTTTTGAGGTATAAAAGCCCTCACTGTAACAGACTTTTTCCTTACATCTAACCTAAATCTCCCCTCTCAGAGCTTGAAGAGGGGAAATTTATTATTTGCCAACACCCCTACAAAGTGTGTCATGTTTAGATCAGTAAACTATAAGCCATCCATTCCTGGGATAATATTTGAAGAGCTTCAAAGCTTTTCCTCTTGAGGATCAGCTCAGGGATGGTAGGATGCAAAGTGCTTCCTAGTGAGTCATAGTACTTGAAGCAATTGCTCTCCTTTTGTTTCCAAACAAGCACTTCCAAAGAAATCACCCTTGAGAGCATTATCTGAAAAGTAACAAATGTGTGAGAGGACCAAAAAAAAGGATGGTTAGGAATTGCAGAACAATTTGTAGAACAATTTGTAGAACAGCCATGGAGTTTTGTAGTTACGTTATAGTTGCTGGGCTTCAACATCAGTTTGTGTTAATCAGTTACTAGATTGTTTGCATTTGGTAGCTGAAGAATTTTTTTTGTGTCTACACTTCCTATTTAAGACATTCAGTTTACTGAAGAGTTCTTAGGGAATTAACTTTGATTGTTGGTAAAGCTCTGTTTACCCACACTCTGTTCTCTTCAGGAAGCTAATCCTCCTTGGGCAGTGTAAAAGGGGTTTAATTTCAATTACAGGGCAGTATTAATCTTCAGTCTTAAGAAGGTGGAAAATCTGCTTTTTGGGTTGCATTTTTTGGTCTGACTTCAGACCTCTGTTGATTCTTAGAGGAATTTCTCATATAACTATGAAAGGAAATCTGAGTCATCCCCTGGACACACCCTGTATATGCCTTCCATTGTACAGTGTGTGCAACATTCCTGACTTCAGACAGCTAGTGATCAGAGACCATTGCTTGCACAAGTCAGCACTCTCCTATTCTTCCTTAGTATTCCAGCTTCCCCCCCAGCCTTTTGTTTCTTTGTTTGGAGATGATGATCATCTCTCTCTCCTGTTGCATAGTCGCTGAATCACTGGGGACCAGAGCTCAGCTTGGGGTTCCAGTGTGCAATGGGAAACCCCAGAACTTCCTGGTTCTGGAGCCAGAAACAAACACTTTTAAGTAATGATTTGATATTTACAAACAGAAAGGATATCCACACACCTGGTCTCAGTATACCTTCTGTGTGGTCCATGACAGTTATCTTGCCCTTATACTGGCCATGCCACTGACATTACTTTGCCACTACTGTCTGTCATAAGAAGCAGCTAACCAGAGAAATCAGTTTTCTATGGCCACAACACTGGACCACTTGTAAGCAGCTGTTTGTATAGAATTCGTTCTTCTTTTTTAGTGGGACAGCTGGGAAAAGGCTGCTGTTTATTAGGCAGTCTTGTAACAAACTTACATGTCCTAACGAATATTCAGCACTCTGCAGTTCTGTGTGTATGAACTGCGTTTAGGAGCAGTCCCAGAATGAAAAAGGATGGCTCTCCATTTTAGAGTACAGAAAGAGACTCTCCAGAAAATCCCTCCATCCAGCCCTGGAAATTCATGGATAAAGAGTTTGACTCAAAGACTAGACGTGTCTGAGCCTGGGAAAGGCAGTCAGGAGTTCCCCTAAGAAGGAAGTTTTTATAACACAATGCACAACACATTGGTACCTCTGTCAGCTGAGATCATAGAATGACAGAATGGTTTGGGTTAGAAGGGACCTTTAAGATCACCTGCTTCCAATCCCCTGCTACAGGCAGGGACACCTCCCTTTAGGTGCCTCATATATGACAGAATTCCTTGCTTGGCTACTTCTGTCACATCTGTGCACTCCACCCAAATTCCAGGTAGGGGTAATTCTTAGTGTTCTTGAGTATTTGGGCACCCTCACCCTGGTGGAGACTGAAGAGGAAGATCTGATGGAGAAAGCTGATGAGTCACACGAATGACCAGACCACCGATATGGAATTCAGCATATGTAAAGGAGCATGCATGTAATTTTCCTTTGTCCCTTTCTGTCTCAAATTATTCATACCCACTGCTCTATTGGATTGTGTTAAGATTCAGCATCTCTCATTATCAGCAACTTATTAAATGTTTGCAACTATTTATTGCTACTTATTATATTGCTTAGCACTTTTTGTTGTGCACTGATTTGGCAGAGCACTGGAATATGCTCATAAGAGTTCTACTGAACAGACACAAAAATAGACCTGTTCTCCTCTGTAATCTACCAAGGTACCTTTCAGCTAGCTGATATCTATCCAGAATGGAATTTGTTTGGATGATTTGTGTGCTTTCTGTCTCGTTCTGAAGTAAGGGCTTGGTGATCTTGTTATATGCGTAAAATCTTTTGTGTTTCAGGTATGAACTGGGGGAGGCTCTGTACTTAGGCTGGGCTGGATCTGTTCTTTGTATGCTTGGTGGGATCTTCCTAACCTGTTCGTGCAAAGGGAAGGAAAAACAGAAGTACAGGTAATCTTGAACTTGGCAGTTCAAATAGTAAGTGTCTGTTATATATCATTTGCTGTTTTCTCTTTTGCCTTGGTTTGAATCTGCAGCAAAATAAACAGGAAACTCTACCTATTGAATCAGTGCTCTGGAATGTCCCAGACTTGTGGTGGGTGGTGATGCCATACCAGGCACTGATGTCTCCCATATACTGAATTTGTTGGTAATTGGCTGCAGTCAGCAGTCACCTATAGCTAGGCTTTGGTAATTGTGATGGCGCTTCTGAGATCTGAGTGATGACAGCGTGCAGTGAAAGAGCCAAAAGAAAAGCGTGTCAAAGAATACAGTGTACTGTAATTAAGATCTCCTGTAATACCACTATTAGAATGCCCAAACCCCTTTCTTATGAAGAAAATGTAGTGGCGTTTTCTTCCCCAAGTTGACTGCTAGAAGCACGTGACGTTTCCTTGTTTCTTGTGGAACATTTTGCATCCAGTATGTTGAGCGTGCATCAAAGCAGAAAAATCAAAGTTCCTGGCCTCCGTATTTAACCTGCATTTGCCTGCATTTTCCTCCAATCCTTAATTTTTTACGCATACCGAAGGTCCCCTTCTCAAGGAGAGGGATCGCACTGCCAGAAATAGCAGAGGTCCTTGTCTACATAGAAGATCCCAAACAGCTTGAAGGAAAGCTGCTGTCAGGCTTGAGAGGATAGTAAGACAGAAGAATGAAGCACGCTGAATTCACTCTTAGGCAACACCTAGTAATTGAGAGTTCCTCTGATATTCCCTTGCTTAATCTGAAGCCACTGAACTTTTATGGCAATATTTTATCAGCCAAGTTGGACTTTAGATTTGACTTTGCATCTTACTGATACAAAGTACCACATATCCTGAAATATCCTGAGAAATCAGACAGAACTGATGGAGGCAAGAGAAGCTCAACATGACGGACAACAGCTGAAGATGGTTCTGTTTTCTCATAATTCTGATTCCTGTATTAAAAACTGTAACCTGCACGAAGGCATTAAAATCTATATTCTATTGTGCTTCAGATGCTTGACCTAAGTGCCTCTGAGAAAGGCACAGGTGAGTAAGGAACCCAGAAATGGTTCCCGGCTAAGAGAGAGGTGGTTGTGCCACCTGGTGAGAACAGCAGGCCTTGAACAGCTGCACCCTTGGGAAGCACATGCTATCAGTGCGTTGGATACAGACCTAAATGAGTAACGTCCTGAGTGCCCAAAGCTATGGCTGTGTGTGTAATGCCTATTTTTTAAGTCTTTTTTTCTTAATTTACAGTGTCCACAAATACAGATACGCAGCAGGCCAGGCAGCCGGGCAGCAGCAAATTTACACCGCAAACGCTGAGACGGTCACAGGTTCCAAGGAGTGTCTCTAAACCTACATTTTCACATCACGTGTAACGTTACGAGGGTTTGAACTTACATTAAAAAAAAAATAAAAAAGGTCTCCTTCCAGGGATTCATTCTATGTCACAGTCTTTCATCTTAATTTGGAGATGGTCTACATCTGAACGCCTCCTTCTGGAAATGGCTTTGAAGTAGAAATAGGTTTCTGCAGATGGGATGTGAAATCCTGCAGCATGGAGGCTGTCCGCGTGCTGAGAAGTCTGGCAATATTTAAGCACAGAGCATGGGATACCCTGATAAGTGGGACCACCTTTTCCTGTTCCAGCTAACTAAACGGTGTGGAACTGGTATGCTATAGCTGCCTCTGGGTTAGTACAGCTCACTGTTAGAAATGGTTTTACTTTCGTTAGTGTTGGGAACGTTAGCTTGTAACAGCAAATAAGCTTCATTCTGCTGACTGAACAGACTTTCTGATGCATAGTAACCTGCCCATTAATGAAGAGATAGTCTGTGTGCTGGGGGTTTGAAATCCAAGTCTCACAGTGTACTGAAATACATGTTATGTGTGTAGTGAAGATTTGTAAAAGCTTCAGAAGTCCCTTAAAAACAACCACTCACCTGCATGTCCATGGATGTGCAACAAGTTCCTTGTTGGTTGGGTTGTAGCTATGAAAAGTAAATGCTACAGAGCAAACCAAACACAGCTGGAAGCAAGGAAAGCAATAGGTCAGACTGTGCCTCAAGGTAACTAGAAGATAGCACCAGTTTTTACTTTTTCCTTCTATCTTTCCAGCTTCTAAAATAACTGTATTTTAATTTTTGGCAGTCTTTTACTTCTGGAGTTCCTATTGCATCTGAATTGCCTAATTCAAGTAATTCCGCAGTGGCTTTGTTCTCTGTCATGGTTCCAACATTACAATTGCTGCCATAAACTACTCCACTACTGGGAGCATATGTTACCTTATGTAAGCACCTAAGACGTTGAATATGAGCTAATTTTCCTTAATATTGATGTCTTGAGCAACATGAAATGGAATTTCTCACTGCAGATTCACAGTTGTCATTAAATTATGAATTTGTTAATATAGTTCAACAAAATACTTCAGTATGTCTCTACTTTCTTGTGTCAAACCATGACTGTAGCCTGAATGAGAAACCTCGTGTGTGTCTTCCTTACCTTGTCCTTCCTTGACTTCCAAACAGATGCATTCACTGGGGCAATCTGCAAACACTCGGAGCAGTTTAGTCACTTTGTTTGCATACAGATACTGCTGACTTGCAAAGTGACACTTTAAGGAATGAATTTGGCCACTGATAGATCATAATAAACTTAATAAATTAAATCCAAAGGAGTGACAATGGTTTTAGGTTGCCACTGTCATCTTTGTTCCTCAACAACCAAGTCTTTCTTGTAAAATCACCCCTTTGGAATATTAGAGAGTAATTTCAGAAGCAGAGGAGCCATTGAGCTTGCATGGTGGGAGCTGAGCTCCTTATAATCACCTGAATATTCTGTCCTGTATCTTTTTGTGCAAACCTGTGCTGGTTTCTTGGTCTAGTTGAAAGTAAGAACAATTCGGAATCTATGCAGAGCAGTTGGTGTGTCAGAACTCAGAGCTTGCATGGTCTTGCATCAGCTCTTCCAGCAACATCACTGGGAAGCCAAGTGTGAAACCCCTCGTTTGTTCATTCAGTGCACCACTGCCACATTCAGCACTGCTGCGGGGACACAAATGCTGTTTACCTGTTGGTTTGTGGTCCTTCTGACAGTTGGGTGTTTCTACTGTTTTTCCCTGATTATCTGCTCCTTTCCCAAGCACCACCATCAGTCTTCTGAATGAATGTAAGGAGCCATCCACTCAGTGTAGCAAACAGGCATTTTATATACAGGCCATATATACTGTCATATTTTTTTTCTACTTTGGCCTACAGCAAGCTGCTTAAAAACAGCCGTGTGTGGAGGTGTTTCAAAGTGAGTTCAGTCCTTTGCTCAGCAGGTCAGACTGCTTTGGTATTTTCAGATCTTCTTCGTATCTCTGTAGCTGAGACCAAAACCCTGCGTTGGGTTCTGCTACTGGTCTGGCAGCCTTCACCGCCTAGAAAAAAGAGAGACGTTACAGAAGCAATGGAAGTATCATGCAAACTGATTTCTTCTTCTTAGGCTTTTGAGAAGATTTATTTTGGTTTTGATTTTGTTATGGAATAATAAATGGATGTTTTTGATGACCTCACTCTGTGCTTGCTTATGTTCCTTGTTACGCAGTGGATTCGTGGACAAGACATGAACAGGAGATGTTGAGTTTGCTGGAAATGCAGATGTCTCTTACAAAGATGGTGAAACATGTCTGAAAACAAAGCAGTTATCTGTGTTAGAGACATCACAGTGTATGTATATAAACCAAGTGGGCGAAGGCTGAAAGATTGTGAAGCATCTGTTTATTTGTCCTATTTATTAGACAAGCGTCCTAATGAAGGTGAGATGCTATTATTTGCAGCTAGCTAGCCTCTAGCTGTTTAGCAGGCCTAACAGATGGTGTTTCTTTGCTACATTGGGCTGTCACACAGACGATACACATGCAACAGCTACAGAGCAAATCCTGCAACATGACTTCTCCAAATGCTCCTTTTATTTTCACTGATCTGCTTCACATCTCTGTCTTTAGCTCCATTTCTCATGAATAAGCAAGTGGTAGGGAAAATGTTCATAAACAGCCCTGAATGCATCTGTTGCTACCAGTGCTTAAAACCTATTTGGATCTGTAAGTCTGTTTGTCCCATAAAGCTGATATTGCGGATTTATTTTTCCAAGTAGGGGGTGAAAAAAAAAATGTATGGTTGAAATGTATTTAAATATCGAGTATCTAAATAACCGATCATAAACGGGGCAGAGCACCAAGACATCTGCGAGATGTAACTCCGCGAGAGATCCTAGGGTTGGAAAGAGCTGTCAGATCACCAAGTCCAGCAGCTGACCCGAGTGCCACCCCACAGATCCTGACACCCAGGAACGGCGACTCCGCCACTTCCCGAGCCGACGGCTGCCCGTTCTTTATCCTGACATCCACCCTGAGCCGCTGCTCCCGTGAGCATCGCCTGCAGCGCCCAAAAGCCGCCCGAGTACCGTGGGTGTAAACGCAGTACCTCAAAGGCGTCCCGGAGCGGCAGGTTTCGGTGTCTCATCAGGTACGCGGTGCAGATAGCGGCGGATCTGCTGCGGCCGTTCTTGCAGAACACCAAGCACTTCCCGCCGCTCCTGACAGCTGCTTCTATGGCGTCGCCGCACTGCTCAAAATAGCGGTACAGGTCCTCGGCCGGGTCGTCGAACACGGGCACGCGCATGCCTCGGGCCTGCAGGAGGCTGGGGAAGGGCTGCAGCCTGGTGACGTTCACGCAGAAGGTGACCCCCTCTCGCGCCAGCAGCTCCGCGTCGCGGGCCGTCCTGGCGTTGCTGATGAGCAGCGAGGCGGTCACTTTGCCCACTGCGGCGCTGCCGGCCGAGGGCGCGCTGTGCCCGGCACCGGCAGCGCTCTGCCCGCCGCCTCCCGGCACCATGGACGGCCGCTCGCGCGACTTCGGCCCGCGGCCCCGCTGCGCTATATTTAGTCCCTCTGCGCAGCTCGGGTGAGGGATGCGGGCGGGTCCTAGCGCCTGCTGCGCTGCCAGAGCTGCGTTCCTGCGGAGCTGAAACCGGCGGCAGGTTGAGTTCAAATCAATTGGATGCGTGCGGCCCCTATTCCTGTAACAGCTCCTTACAAGAAGGAAGAGCCCTCCGAGCAGGGAATGCTGCTGCCACCAGCGGTGCCTTGTGCGGCTGAGACCAGCATCCCTCGGCCCTCGCCGGCACTGAGTACCCAAACTGCCCGAGGGGTGGCTGGGTGCGGCAGCACAGCTCTTGCTGCACATCAGGACAGGTGCGGCTGTGGGGCTGTGCAGGTGTTGCCTCCTGGTGGAGGTGACGTTACCCCCCGCTGGAGGTGCTCCCTCCTGGTGCAGGGTCAGGGCTTCCATGCACGGCCAAGCACTGGTGGGCACAGGATGTGCCAGGGTTGATCTGTCCCCGTGTCCCCACGCTGAGCGTTGCCTTGCCTGGTGAGCACATCCCTGCCTAGTGGTGCCTAGGCCTAGGAACTCGAGGCTAAAATCTGCCGATGGCACAAAGATGAGCCTGGATCATGGCAGTGGGACGACATGGGCTGGTAGGACTAGCATGAAGTAGAAAACCAGAAAGTAAGACTGCATGGCTGCATGCATGGTGCAAAGGCATATTTTTATTTCATAGCAGAGAGCTAAGAAGCCGACCTTCACACACGTGCCATCACACAGCCAACAGCAGCACACCAGTGACCCCAGCCCCACTGTGAGGGCAGCAGCTGACACGGGCACAGGGCTGAGCATCCCAGCAACCTGCTGGCATCACTCATCCTGTCGCTGCCTTCGTCCCAGGCTCTGGGTGCCTGGCTGCAGGAAGGCCCTCATGGCCAAGGAGGTGCCTTTCAGCCTGGGGGCCTGAGTTGGAGAGGAAAAAGTGTGTCAGGAGAATGCAGCCATGACGCTGCCCAGCCCAGTGACAGCTGAGAGAGCCATAGTGCTGCTCAGACATCCCAGGCGCACAGCACCCACCTGGCGGCCGGCAGTGCCTCCTGGGACTGTGCTCCCAGCTGCGCTGTGCTGAGCTGGAGGAGGCTCTGCTGCTCGAGGGTGCTTCCCTGCAGGCCTCTGGCCCCGCTTCCTGACACACCCTGTGCACAGTGCATTGATTAGGAGCCTTCATGATCATTGCCAGGGCTCTACTTATCAGATGGGAACAGGTTGGTTCCCCCTAGCATGGAAGGGTGCTGGCTGTCACGTTACCGTCCTTGTCCCGTGCTGCCTTCTTTTGCCTGCCTTTCATGGGTTTCCTTGTGCCCCCAAGTGCCATGTGATGAACGCATTGCAGTTCAAACCTGCATGCAAGAAGGCAGTGGTGTGACGTGAAGTAGCACAGGTCCTTTGCAGAACTCATTTGCTCCCAGTGCCACTTCAGCCATCCTTCAAACAGTCCCAGAGCCACCCTGGGCCTGGCAGCACACAGCAGCACAGCCAGCAGCCCTGTCTGTGTCCCTTGAGCTCTGCCCCAGTGATGGCTGCGTGCCAGGGCTGTGTGAAGCAGCCCCCTCCCACAGCCTGGTGTGAAGTGTGCACTGGGAGCAGCGCCTTCCAATGAAGCTGCCCCGGGCAGGGTCAGTTGCAGGGCTGTGGGCATCCACACTCACTCTGGAAAGATGATGATGCAGCCTGAGCGTGTCAGGGAAGCAGGAGCTGCTGAGTGAGGGATCGCTGAGCTCGGCACCCCTGGGACCTGCAAGAAGGACACAGAGCTGGGGGGCGGCAGGGCTGGAGAGGGGAGCTCTGTGATGAGCAGCACAGCCAGCTGCCCACTGCCACGGGGCAGCTCTGCCTTGCTCAAACACTGCTGTCCACATCAGCCCATCCTAATGAGTGGGCGCTGTGTGAGCACGGAGTGGTGTTTGCTGAGCTGCAGCCCAGCCTGAGGGGCTGCCCAGGTCAGGGCTGGCCAAAAGCAAGGGCTGGTAGCAGATGCTGGCCTGCAAAGGGAGCGGCACCGCTGTGGAGAACCAGAACACTTACTCTCAGTAGAACTTTCAGGGTGTCTTCCCCTGCCATCACTTCCAAGAAGTCACGGTAGTATTTCATTTGCACTTGGGCACCTTCGATGAGGAGCATACCAATATCCCTCAGGATGAGTGCGACGTTCCTTCCCTGCGCGATGCAGCGAGAGAAGAGGGACATGGTGGCCTGGATGCACCCCACCACTCTTTTTGGAGACATGAAGATGGCTGCGGCTATCTGAGTGTACTGCAGGGGCTGCAGTACTTTGTTGCCTGGAAAACCACACAGAAGGGATGAGGCAGCTTTACAGCCACTCGCCAGCAGGCTGCAGCCATGCCACAGCCCCCAGGCCCTCAGGAAGCCTCACTGCAGCAGGCACAGGGCTGAGCAGTGTCTGGAGCCAGCAGTCCTGCAGGTCTCAGGGCCTGGCCCTCTCTGGGTAGGTTTCTAGGGGTGCTGGCTGCTGCTGGTGTGGCACACAAAGCCAGCTGTGGGACCAAAGCCAGCATTGAGCAGTTTGGTTGTGAGCAGCATCAGTTACTCTCCAACCTGGGAGAGGAAAGTGAGAGGTCTGCTCACCCAGCCACACGGTGGGGAATGTGCATCATCCAGCACTACAAGGAACACGTCCAGAGGACAGCTCACCTGGCATGTATGCCTTGTTATCCGTCAGGTGGTGACCTTCAGCGAGGTTCCTGGCCAGGTGGAAGACAGGTCTGTGCACGGCCAGGTGACCATCTCCAACCTGCACCCGCTCAAGGATGATGTCAAAGGAGCCAAGGGTGGGAATGTGGATGCCCTGTGGGCAGATGAGACCAACAAAGCAGTGAGGTGAGGACAGAGGCTGCCCTGTTGGAAGCAGGGAGCAAGGAGCTGCCAGTCCCCTGCTCCCCATGGGATGCCACGGGACTCAACATTCAAAGGGGCTTCCGACAACTTGGAGATGTGGCCACACTTGCATAAAGCTTTATTCTCCCTTGGCCGGGTCTCCCGGGCAGAGGACCCTGGTGGCAGGGCAGATCTTGGTTGGGGGAGAGAAGGGTGCAAGCCCACCTTGTGCTGCAGGAGCTGCTGGCGAACATGAGCAGCCACGGTGTTCCAGACGGCGGCTCTCACTGGGCAGCAAGTGAAGGCTGGGTCACGATCTGCACCTGCAGCCCCGAAGCCCCGCAGCCCACCCTGGCCACGTGCAGGGACATGGCCGTCCCTCACAGACACATCCCAGCGCGGGGTGCAGCACTGAGTCATGCCCTTGTGACACTGGGCTGCGAGGCAGGTCTGCGGGGAGCCTGGCATGGCAACACAGTGCCGGCAGGTTACAGCCACGCTCCTGCAGGTGCCTGCAGAGAGCCTTACCTGCGGCAGTGAAAGGCGGCACCATAGGGCCCCCCTGGCCAGTGTCCCAAAAGTCTTTCCATGGCCATGTTTCCCTGGCACGGTGTTTGCCAGCAGGGTGAGACAGTGGGGAGCGCACTCGGGAACCACAGCAGTAGCACCCTGCCTTCCTGTGTCCACTCCCCATGGTGCAGCTCTGTGCTGTGAGGGGCTGCCCGGGCTGGTCGGAAGCTGTGACACAACAGGGCCCCTTGTTGCCTTGGCAGGGCCCGGTCCCCTTCCATCTGGGGGCACCACACGTCCCCCGCCCTGTGCCTGTCCGGTGGGAGCGGTGTGCCTGTGATGGCTGCTGCTGGATGGGGGGCCATGCTGCTCACCCAGGTACAGAGCAGCCCGGTGCCGTGCCCTACAGCTCGCAGAGCCTCTGTGGCTCTTGTGCTGCTGCTGGGTTTTCTTCCCACCCTTCCCACTTTTCCCACTGAGCCGTGGCTGCTCGGTACCAAAGCTGTGACTTGAGGGTTAAGAACTCCCCACCAAGCCAATGGCAGCAGCAGCCTGGTGGTTTCTCTGTGTTTGTGGGGCTGGGACTGCTCACCCTCAGCATCAGCAGATAGCACGGCTCCTGCACCGGGGGCGCCTCACTGTGGGGCTGCGGGTGGTTAGCGGGGCTCCGGGGGATGACATCTGCAGGCAGCTGCCCTGCAGTGAGTCTGTCGTGGCAGGAGCACCATCCCTTCCCGCTGCACACTTCGCAATGTTGTAGAGTTAGTTTGGAGGTGTATGGTGTTCAGTGTATTTACAGACCAACAGAGGTGTTTGCAGATGGTTTTAATCCACGCAGAGCTGCAAGTCACTGTTATTTAAAGTTATCATCAGGCACAGAGGAGGCAAAGGACATGATTGCTCTGCAAATAACTCCAGCAGAAGAGCACTATCTCCACATTTGCTCATATTTATAAAATCTGTGCACATGGCACCTAGACAGCTGTAACTGCAGGACATCGAGCTGAATAAATACCTATTCAGTTAGAGGGAGCACTCATGGTATTAGATGAAAGTGATATTTGCATCTAGGCAGGTAGATTTTGTAGTTTCCAGTTACTAAGTCTCGCTCTGACACTTCAATAGCTGCTTTTGACATGTTGCCTTGACCCTGCATCCATCCACTTCTAGGAGGGGAAGGTGCAGAGCAGAAGCACAGATCTTTCTGCTAAGTCATTCAGCCTCCAGCACTCGTTGGGATGGCACATCTGCACCGCTGCGGCAGCCCTGCGTTCAGCTCCACTTCTGTGCTCTGCCAACAGCTGCCCTGGGACACGGCCACTGTAGATACTGAGCCCAACACTCGGCTGTGACATACCAAGGGCATTTCTGATTCTGTGCGTTGTTATGCGGTGACTTTTTGTGCCTTTGTACGAGAATGTTCAGAATACTTGCTTTGATGACCTGCAGTCGCTTTGTCTGGTTTGCACACACACTGCACCCATAAAACCCTAGCTCTTGTTTTACCAAGTTACGTGGGATTGCTGGTGAGGGAAACCCATGACAAACCGGGCGGTTAAAAGCAAGGGCTCATCCCACAGGACTGCTGGCTCATCCCACAGGACTGCTGAACTGGCC